GGCCGGGCCTTGCCCCATGCTCTCGTCTCTCCGGCCGGCAGCTGGCAGCGCAGCACCCGGTGCCTGCGGATGCAGCAGCGCCAGGCGGTCCTGGGCGCCCGCCTGCTCCAGGCCGTGCCCCACTTCGGCACTGCCCTGCTCCATATCTCCAGGTGCGCGCGCCGGGACTCCAGATCCGTCTCCAAAGCGCCCTTCTGCTGTGCGGGCCCCATGGGGCCGGGGTCTGCCCCCCTGCCCGGGGCAGCTGGGGGGAGCACGGTCTTGCTGCAGGGCCTCGCCTGAGCTGGAGGGGACGATGCGGGTGCTGGGGTTTGGCAGGGGGCTGGGTGTCCCCCAGGGGCAGGTGGGGTGGGTCCCCCCACTTGAAGCCCTATCTGCTCACTCACCCACCCGTGCAGGCTGCTGCAGGAGCTGCGGTCCGTGCATTGGCTGCCCCAGGACAATACCCGCAGCTTCAGCTTCCCGGAGCTGCAGCGGGCCCTGGTCCGGGAGAAGAGCCGTGCGCGTGGCCTCCTGGCCCGCTTCCTTACCCTCTACACCACCATCCTGGAGCTGGTGAGCCCAGCCTGGCCGGCCGCTCACCCAGGCAGCCTGGCTTGGCGTGGCATGGCGCGGCACGCCCCTTCCATGGGTGCAGCACCCCCCACTGGGACACCCCCTGTCCGGTGGGGCAAGCAAGCCGGGGGCATGGGGGGAGCGAGTGCCCACCCCTCAAATGTGGGGCCGCCCCGGCAGGTGCGCAATGACACGTACAGGATGGCGCGGGGGCTGCAGAGGGGGACGCAGGTGTGCGGGCACCCCCAGGCTGGGGGGTCCGTGCACCAGCAGCGCCTGCAGAGTGAGGGGATGCAGCGGTGGCACCGGGAGGCCGAGCGCTGGCTGGGGCAACTGGGCAGCCTGGCCCGGCTCGTCAACCTGCTCGTGGCCCAGAGCCTGGTCTCCATGGTGCAAGACCAGGTCGCTGCTTTCGTCGGCCACGTCATGCAGGTGTGGGGCGGGGGCACCAGCCTGGGTCCCCGTGGCTGGGCCTCTGGGTCCGTCCCTGCCCTGACCGGCCCCCCTGCCCTCGCAGGCCGACGGTGCCAGGTGCGAAGCCGTGCTGCGGGTGCAGCTGGTCTTCGATGCCAACAACCAGCTGGCACCCTTCCCCTCGCGCCAGGCGCTGGAGGACAGCCTACTGGGTGCGCTGGATGCTGTGCTGGAGTCCGTGCTGGAGGTCAGTGCCCTCCACCCGGCTCTAGCCTCGCCCTGGCTGCAGGGCCCATCCGTTTGGCCCTGGGCTGCTCTGTTGTGTCTGGCCCAGCCCCGGGCCTGCGGCAGCCGCGTGGATGGCAGGAGCCCGCGGGGGCTGCAGTCAGGGCCTGGAGACCCGCTGTGGCCCACACTTCCCCACAGGTGTGCCAGACCAGAAAGGAGCGGCTGGGGTCGCTGCCCGAGTCGAGTGCCTCGGAGGCCGGGACGGCACCAGGCCTGGACCCGCTGACCGGTGCGTGCCCTCGCCCTGCTGCAGCCCCAGGGCCGAGCGGGGTCCTCCCCTGCCCCGGTCCTGTCCCTGCCCCCAGCTGCAGCAGAGGGGCCACCCTGGTCCCTGCTGCGGGGGGCTCACACTGCCCCCCATGCACAGCGCTCTGGGAGGCGGGGAAGGGCAGCATGGGGACCCCCGTGGAGCTGCTGCCCGATCTGTGGGATGAGGTGCTGGGCACACAAGAGCAAGCCCTGAGGCAGCCCCTCGCGGGCCTGGAGGTGACGGGGTGCCGGGTGCACGGACACTACCCGGAGCCAGTGTGGGAACATCTGGAGCGGGACCTGCGCACCAATAGCCGCATCCAGGGGGCCCGCGCCACCCAGCAGAGCCAGCTGGCGGTGAGTGTGGGGCTGCATCGCCAGGACCTGGTCGCACCCCCATCCCCTGCACTCGTCGTCCCTGGGCTGTGGCCACTCGCTGCTCCCCTTTCCTTGGGACTGCACTGCCCCCTTGCAGGGCAGCCACAGCCCAGGCACCCATCCTGTGCCAGGCTGCTCCCGAGCTGCCCCAGAGGCCTGGCCCTCCCATTGGGACCAGGGCAGGAAGGAGGCAGGCCCTTCGAGGGGGGTAGCACCAGCCAAGCCCCGCCACCCCGGGCAGAGTGCCCTGCGTGGGAGCTGGGGCAGCACCGTCCCTGCCCCACGCACTGAGCCATGGCTGCTGTCACAGGCGGCGCTGGACGAGACGCGGGAGCTGTGCCGGGAGCACGCGGGGGTGGCCGAGGTGCACACCTTCGTGCAGGGCTGGAGCCCCACGGCTGTGGAGGTCATGCGGGGCCAGCCGCCCAGCACCTACGCTGAGCACGTGGCCCAGCACCGCGCCTGGGCCCAGCGCCTGCAGGACCTGGGGCCCGCCGTCGTCACCCGCAACCGCCTCTTCCTGGTGGACTGCAGCAGCCTGCAACAGGAGACCGGTGCGTGGCTGGGGGGGACCTGTGGGGCCTCGGTGGGGCACATGGATGCTGTGGGGGTGGGGAGGGCAGCAGGGCCATGCTCCAGCCCTGACCCCGCGCCACCCCGGCCCCAGCACCCCTGCTGGCCTCCATCACCAACGAGCTCCAGGCGCTGGCGCTGCACGAGGCATCGCTGCGCAGCAAGGTCCTCATCGCCGAGCTGAGCACCGTGCTGAAGCTCTACCGCAGCGTCGGCTCCGACATCCTCACCGTCGCCAAGTGCTCCCACAAGGTGCGGCCCCAGCCGGGGCATCGGGATGCCCCAAGGGGCAGGGGTGGGGGCAGCTCAGACACCCATCTGGCCAGCAGAGAGGCACCAGCCCCCGGTGCTGACGAGCAGATGCCCCCGCAGCTGCAGCAATACCAGGGCCAGATGGGCGAGCTGCAGGAGCGCATGGAGTACGTGCGCAGCCTCAACGACGTGATCCGGCACTGCTTCCGCCCGCTCGCCCCGGACGAGGAGAACCAGGAGAACGCGGTGAGCGCGCGGACCACCGCGGCAGGAAGCCCCCGTGCAGGGGCCACGGCACTGCCGGCGGGAGAGCGTGGAGGGGCACGGGCCTGGCCTCGGCCCCTGCAGCTTCCTGCAACGCTGCTCATAGACAAGGGACGTCCAGTGCTCACATCCAGTCCAGCCCCTGCCTGAGGCCCTGTGCAAATCAGCGCAGACAAACCCCGTGTCCGATCTGAGCAACACAACGCAGGCACCCCGACACAGTCCCAGGCATCACCCACCCCTGCCCCCAGGCAGGCAGGGTGTCCTGCCAGTGCATTGAACACATTCATAGATGCTGGAGAGACCCCAGTGCCCTCACTACAGAGGAAAGTGTAACCTCCCCAGTCTGAACAGGGGGGAAATCCCTTCCTGCTCCTAGTGCAGTGTTGGTCTGAGCCTGAGCGCAGGGGCAAGACCCTCGTGCCGGGACCCTGCGGGGTCGGTGCCAGCAGGAGCCCAGTCCCTGTCCCCAGCACCTCTGGGGGAGGCTTAAAACCCCTTGGCACCTGGAGCAGAAAGGGGGTGGGGGGCAACCGGTACAGCCCAGGAAACCTGCACAGCAGCGCACCGGCATCGCTGCACTCGGATCGTCCCCAGCCAGTGCCCATCCAGCCTCCCCTTGAGCCCATCTCTTCCACGGCCTCCCTGCTCTGCCAGGGAAGACGTGTTTCCTGCTATCCGACTTTGCTGCAGCCGTCAGCCATGGCTCTGCGTCCTCCTCTCTGCAGCAAGAGCAAACAGGCGCTTTCCCTCTTCCCTCTGGCAGCCCGTCAGGTCTTTGCAGGCGGCTGCCGTGTCCCCTCCTCAGCACCTTTTCCGCCAGCTGACAATAGGATCATAGACTCGTAGAAAATTCAGGCTGGAAGGGACCTGGGGAGGTCGCATCTAGTCCAACCCCCTGCTCAAAGCAGGAGGCTGGACCAATGCCCAGCTCCTTCAGCCTCTCCTCGCAGGCCTGGCTTTCCAAGCCCTCGATCATTGTTGCTGCCTCTGGACCCTCTCACTCCTCTCGGCCTTTTTAAAACGCGGAGCCCAGGACTGCACCCAGTATCCAGACGACGCTTAACCAGTGCTGAGCAGAGGCATCATCACTTCCCGTGTCTTGCACCTGGTGCCTCTATTGCTGCAGCCCAAACTGCACTGGCCTTTCGTGTGGCTGCATCCCGCTGCAGACGCCTGTTGAGTCTCTGCTCTACCGGACACCCGTGTCCTTTTCTGTAGAGCTGCCGTCCAGCCTGGGATCCCTCCGTTTGTTATTCGTCTTTTTGATTCTTCCCCCCGAGCTACAGCACCTTGCGTTTGTCTGCGCTGAACTTCGTCCTGTAGCCCCAGCCCAGCTTTCCAGTCTGTCGGGCTCCTGACGCGCGCTCGCATCCTCCAGCGTGTTCACGGTCCTTCCCAGTTTCACGTCATCTACAAACTTGCTTAAGAAGCTTCTTACGCCGGCCTCTAAGTCATTAGCAAACCCGTTGAACAGCGCTGGGCCCAGGACGGAGCCCTGCGAGGCTCCATGCAAAGCCTCCTGCCGTTCTGACGTGGATCCATGTCCAGCCCCCGTTTCTCCAGCTTGTTTAGGAGAAGGTCGTTGTTTCATTGCCAGGGGCTGGGAGGGACCTTGGAGATCATCGGGTGCAGCCCGCCTGCACCCGGGCAGGAGAGACTGCGGGGACCAGGTGACCCCAGCAAGGTGGGCATCAAGACGCTTTTTGAAGATCGCCAGGTGACTGCACCACTTCGGGGGGAGCCTGCTCCAAACCCTCGGCGGCCCCCGGCTTGTAAAGACATTTTTTGCTCGTGTCTAGTCCGAAGCGATCTTCAATCAGCTTGTGCCCATTATTTCTTGTCCTCCCCCAGACCTTGTACTCCCCTGGTATCGGCTGCAACCAAATCCTCCGAGTCTCCTCTTCTCCAGGCTGAACAGCCCCAAGTCCCTCAGCCTCTCCTCGTGCATCTTGGTCTCCAGGCCTCTAACCACGCGCGCGGCCTCCTCGGGGCTCTCTCGGCTTCTCCACGTCCTTCCCGAAGCGCGGCGCCCAGAACTGGACGCAGATCTCCAGCTGCGGCCTCACCAAGGGCAGGGTGACATCAGATTTTCCCAATTTGACCATCGTGGGAGACCAGGTCGAAGGCCTTTTTGAAGTCCAAGTATATGACATCAACCTCATTTCCTCTATCCAGGTGGCGAGTAACCTGATCAGAGAAGGAAATGAGGTTGGTCTGGCACGACCAGCCCATAACGAAGCCACGTTGGCTATCCTTCATAATGCTGCCTTCAGTTAACCTGTGTGTGATGGTTTCTTTGATGATTTTCTCCAGGATTTTACCTGGGATTGAGGTCAAACTGATTGGCCTGTAGTTTCCTGGGTCCTCCCTTCTCCCTTTCTTAGAGGTAGGCACCGCATTGGCTTTTTTCCAGTTTTCTGGGACATCTCCTGAGCGCCACAAGTCTTCAAATAACTTTGCCATCAAGCGCACGATGACATTGGCCAGTTTTTAACGCTCTCAGGTGTAGTTCGTCCGGTCCAACCAATATTTAGCCTTTGTAGGCTATTTAGCCAACTGATATTTAGCCACATAGATATTTAGCCTTTGTAGGCGCTCCCCTAAAAGATCTATGTCAACTATGGGAGGATGGTCACCCCCATCGTGGTCATCCTGTCTCCTGTCAAGCAGGCTAATGCCCTTGGACTGATGACATACTAGCGGGAAGTATTCATTCAGGAGTTTGGTTTTGTCTTGGGTTTCGGTTAACAGCTGTCCCATTTCATTTAACAGGGGCCCTAGGCTTCCCTTGTTCCTTTTGCGACTTCCTACGTATCTAAAGAAGGACTTTTTGTTGTCCTTGATTCCAGTTGCCAATTTACGTTCGGTTAGTGCTTTCGCTGTCCTGATCTGCTTCCTACAGGTGTGGGCAGCTGCTGAGTACTCCTCTTCGGCAGTTGTTCCTGACTTGCACCCCTTCCTTGTAGGCTTCTCACTTTAATTTCAGGAGGCCCATGACTTCCCTGTTGAGCCCAGGGGGTCCCCCAGCTCTTCTGCTGCCTTTCTTGTGAGAGGGAATAGACTTTCTTTGAGCTTTTAGGATTGCTTCCTTGAGGAACAACCACACTTCTTGTATTCCCTTCCTCACCCGACCGTGGTCCCGCAGGGCCTCGCCAACCAAGCTCCCGAGTTTGTGGAAATCAGCTTTCCTAAAATCAGGGATTTCTACCCTACTGGCTGATTTCCCTGGCTTGCGGTGGATGGAGAAAGTGATCATCTCTTGGTGGCTGTCGCCCAGTTTCCCTTCAATCCGCGGGTTGCTCGCTAGATCGTCCCCTTTGGCCAGAACCAAGTCTAGGAGCGCCTTGCCCCGGTCGGCCCGCAGGCTCGACGCGAGCGAGGATGCTTTGCGAGCGATCGGATCTAGCCGAGCGCTCATCCCACGAGATGTCTGGGTAGTTGAAGTCACCCACGATGACCATGCTCCGCGAGCGTGCAACCTCTGCCAGTTCTCCAGAGGATGCCTGGTAGAGCCGCTCCTCGTGGTTCGGAGGCCTGTAGTAAACTCCTACAATTGAGTCCCCTTCCCCGCGCTCTCCCTGTATCTTGACCCAGAGGGTCTCACGTTGCCCTTCTTGGCATCCGGTGTCCGCCGCCAGGGAAGCGTAATGTTCCTGTACACAGACAGCAACACCCTTCTTCCCAATACGATCCCTCCTGTACAGGGTGCCCGTGGTCCAGCCATAGGTGGAGTCCCACCAGGTCTCCGCGATCCCTATAAGACCGTATTGCTTGTTGGTTAGTCCGAGGGCTAGTTCCTCCGGCTGGTTTCCCACGCTTCTGGCGTTATTGCACAGGCAACGAAGCCTGCCGCCGGAGGCCCTAGCCGTCTGGTGAGCGGTGGCATAACGTGTCCATCGGCTGGTGTCGGAGGAGCTTCCTGTTGTACCCTGGGATGCCGGTTGCGAGGTACCCATTTCTCGGGCTTGCGCTGGTGATCTCAGTTTAAAGCCCTGTCCAGGAGGTCCGTCATTCTGGCCGAGCAAAGCTTCTTCCCCTTTGACGTGAGGTGGATGACGTCTCTTCCCAAAAGGCCGCAGGTTGTGTGGCACCGTGTCAAATGCCTTGCTGAAGTGCAGATACACGATAGCCACAGACTTCCCTTCCTCCACCCAAGTAGCTGCTTTGTCAAAGAAGCAGGTCGAGTGTGTTTGACGTGACTTGAGTACAGCAAATCTGTGCTGGCTGCTTGTGATCAGCCTTTCCTCCTGCAGAAGCATGCACATGGCAAATGGCTTTGGTTCGGGCATGCTCCGATAACTTCCCAGGTACTGCAGCGAGGCTACCCAGCCTGTCGTCCCCCGGGTCCTTCTTGCCTTTTTTTAAAGAGGGGCACTACACTGGCCCTTCCCCGGTCCTCTGATGCCTGGCCCGTCTCCCACCACTTCATGAAGATCACTGCCAAGGGCTCCGAGGTCTCTGCCCGTTCCTGCAGGGCCCTGGGATGAAGTTCATCTGGCCCTGGTGACTGGATTCATTCATCCTCATCAAAAGCTCTGTGTCTCGGTTTTTAGCCCCTCCCTCAGCTCGTCCCCTTTGCTATCCAGATAATTGTTAGTAGGTTTCTGTTTAATTTTTTTATTTTTTTTTGTGAGGGCTGAAGCAAAGTAGCTGTTGAGTAGATCTGCCTTCCTGGCATCTTGTGCTAGGAGTCCCCGGGCTCGTTAACGCAGGACCCGCAGCTGCCTGGGTCCTTCTTTTCTGGCCGGCTTCCTTAGACAGCCTCTCCTTGTCGTCCTTGATCTCCCTCGCCGGGTGCAGCCCGGTCTCTATCTTTGCCGCCCTGGTTTTGTCTCTGCAGATTCTGGCTATTTCCTGGCACGCATCTTGGTGGCCTGCCCCTTCTTCCACTGCCTGGGTGCTTTCCTTTTGCAGCCAAGGCATCCTAGAAGCTCCTCATGCAGCCACGTCAGTCTCCCGCCATCCTTCTTCAGCCTCCATCGTGTCAGGACAGTTTTCTGGTGGGCTTCCAATACTGTGCCCCTTAGAAACTGCATCCTCCGGGTACCTTTACCCTTCAAACTATCCTCCCATGACACCATACCTATTCACTCTTTGAGGCCGATGAAATCTGCTTTTTTTTGAAGCCCAGAGTCCTAATCTTGCTGACCTCGAGCTTTCCCTGTCTCCGGATCTGGAATTGTAGCGTATCGCGATCGCTTCCTCCCCATTACTCATCACCTTCACGTCCCCCGCCAGTTCCCCGCCGTCGGTCAGGACAGGAATCAGGTAAAAGATCGCTTAGCTCTGCCTTTTGGAATAGGAAGTTGTCCACACAACTTAGAGACTGGCGTGATGTCTTATGTCTGGCTGCATGGTCCTTCCAGCAGACGCCCAGAAAATTGGAGTCTCTCCTCACCAGTACCGTCCCGTAGCTTTCGGACAGATTCGTCACCTGCTTGAAGAGCGCCTCGTTCACCTCCTCTTCCTGATCAGGCGTCCTATAATAAATCCCTGCCATAATATTGTCTTTCACCTTCACCCGTTCTGCCTTACCATCTTCTTCCTCCTGAAGCTGGGAAAAAGTGTGTGTTTGACATACAAGGCAACACCCCCACCTCTTCTCCCACCCCAGTCCTTCCTCGATGCTCACATCGCAGGCCTTAGAGCTGCCCCACCACGTCTCGGTGATCATAGGTCTCTTCCCGAGCTGCAGCCTCCAGCTCATCTTGTTTATTCCCCCACTTCTTGCATTTGTGTACGTGCATCAGACATATTTTGCATGTTGACCACCTCACTTGCCGTTTGCACCGCTTGTTGCAGTCTGTAGCTCTCTGGCCCTTTCCCAGAGTCGAGTTGCCTCTTGGCATCCTTTCCCCTCTGCAGTCTGTTGCCGGAGGGTTTTGATCACGGTCCCCCACGGAGCCCAGTTTAAAACCCTCCTCACTAGCTTGGCCACACACCAGCTTCCCCCTAGTGACGTGGCCTCGACCCTCGGGGAGGTGCCCGCGCATGCACACGGCTGTGCCTGTCCCTGGAGACCCCCTCACACTGACCCCGCTGCCTGCGCCCCTGCCCTGTACCCGCAGCTCCTGGACACGTGGGAGGCCTTCGTCTTCCAGCAGCAGGAGGCCTCGGACTTCATCACCTTGCGGCGCCTCAGCATCGTGGACGAGCTGGAGGAGTCGCGGCAGCGGGCGCGCCAGGAGCGGCACGCCCTGCTGGCCGCGGCCACCACGGGCCGGTTCCGGGACCCCGCGTCTAACGCCCATGCCGCCGAGCAGGACCTGCGCGCCCTGCTCCTGCGCTTCCAGGCCACGGCCGCCCGCCTGGACGAGCTCTGCCACTCCCAGAAGACCCTCACAGGCACGGCCGTCCCTGCCCCGCCGGGTCCGGGGCCCCCAGCCCTGCACCACCCCGCAGACCCTGGGCTGTGCATCCCGGCTACAGCCACCCCCAGGCTCCCAGGGGCTGCCCCGGCACAGGGCAGGGCTCCCAAATGAGTGTCTGCCTGCCTGCCCGCCCCCGCAGGGGACTGCATGGACCAGGCTTTCGTGGCCACGGGCCAGGACCTGATCGAGGCCCACGAGCGCCTCTGGAAGCTGTTCCGCACCGTCACCGAGCAGCTCGTCGAGTGGCGCTGCCTCGCCTTCGCCAAGGTGCCCTGCCCCCTGTCCCCGTCTATGCCAGGGGTCCCGTCCCGGGGTGCCTCTAGCCCCAGGCCAGCCCCACAAGACCCCCTACCTTGGAGGTCTTTAAGAGAAGACTGGACAAACACCTGGCTGGGGTCATCTGACCCCAGGGCTCTTTCCCACCCAGGGCAGGGGGTCAGGCTCGATGATCTCCCCCCGCCCCCCATATCTATGACATGTCCCCGCAGTTCAGCGCAGGCCTGGCGCTGGAGCGAGCGGCGGAGTGGCAGAGGGAGGCGTCCCGCCTGGAGGAGCGCCTGCCGGACGCGCACCCCGTGCTGCAGGCGTGCACGCGGGCCATTGGCGCCTTCCAGCAGGTGCTGCCCCTGCTGCAGGCGCTGGGCAGCCCCCTCCTGACGGCTGCCTGCTGGAGGGAGATCTTCGCAGGTGAGTCCCCCGGACCGCCGCGGCCACGCTGCTGTGCAGGGAGGAGCCCGGGACCGCGGTCACTTGCGGTCACTTGGCAGCTGGGCTCATTCTGGCCAGGGCCCGGTGCGGCCGCGATGGGCAGGCGAGGCAGCCAGGTTGCCCCGGGGCTCGTCTGCATCGGGCTGTTGCAAGCGGGCTCCACCGCTGACCCCGGCGCTCCCCACAGCGATGGGCGTGAAGTGCCCGGCCATCGCGCAGCTCACGCTGGGACAGCTGCTCTCCTACCCGCTGCTGGAGCACCGTGACCCCATCTTCAAGGTCAGCCGGAGGGGGCGCCGGGCCCGGGGGTCCCGGTGCAGGCGGGCGGCAGCTCACCGCCACGCCCGTCCCGGCGTGCTGTAGGTGTGGTCGAACGAGCGGGGGCGCTGGCACACGACGGACACGCTGCGCCGGCTGCAGAAGACCTGGGCCGAGAAGCAGCTGCGCGTGGTCAACTTCATCCTGCACGTGCCCTACCAGGCGCCCGAGCACGCCCACCGCCCCCGGGAGCCCGCCCGCGTGGAGCACGTCCCCAAGGATAGTGGCACCTTCGTGCTGTCCGGTGAGCAGGGCCAACCGGGGGCGGGAGGGAGATGGCAAGAGCTGGCTGGGGCAGGGCGGGGGCCCACCAGCCCACTCTTGTCCTTGGCCTGGGGGCAGAGGGGCTTCCCTGCCTGCCAGGGCCGGGCTGGCCGAGGTCGGCGCCGGGGGCTGCCGGCCTCACCTCGTCCCTGCCCGGGCCCAGACACGACGGAGCTCAGAGCCCTGGCAGAGAAGAGCCTGCTCAGGCTGCAGAGCATCGTCCTCTCGCCCCACGCCACTGACGTCCGCGACGAGGCCGAGACCTTGGCCACCACCCTGCAGACCTTCGGTGAGAGCCGCGGGGCTGGGGTGGGCGGATGTATGGCTGTGACCCCCCAGAGGCTCCTCCCTGCCCGGGCCCAGACACGACGGAGCTCAGAGCCCTGGCAGAGAAGAGCCTGCTCAGGCTGCAGAGCATCGTCCTCTCGCCCCACGCCACTGACGTCCGCGACGAGGCCGAGACCTTGGCCACCACCCTGCAGACCTTCGGTGAGAGCCGCGGGGCTGGGGTGGGCGGATGTATGGCTGTGACCCCCCAGAGGCTCCGTCGTGGATCTGGGGCCCCGGTGACACCCCCACCCTCCCCTCCCCT